CCAATCGACCTGCCAAGACGCCTCGAAAGTATGCAATCTTCCAGCTAGACTGGCGACCAAGGGCTCCAGCACAATATGCTGCCGCGATTTCACCCGATGAGTGGCCGCATACGGATTGTGGTATGATATCCCAGTTTCGGAGAAGGTCGACAGTGGCAATCTGTAGAGCGGTACAAAGGGGCTGTGAAATTTCAGGCTTTTGAATTCTGGACGACCCCGGGGCCTTCCGAAGCTCCGTGAGGACGGACCATTCGCAACCAAGAGACCGCAGATACTCGTCGCAGTCCATCAGACTCTGCCGGAATACTTCGTAGCGCATCAGCTTGAGACCCATCCGCGGGTACTGAGCTCCTTGGCCTGTGAAGACGAAGTTGAGCTCTGGCCTCTTCGATGACAAGACCGACGTAACGGGAGAGAGGATCTCTGTGAGATTGTTGCCGATGTTCGCTTCCGACTTGACCACTGCAAATGCTCGCCAGTTGAGGATGCTCCTCTGAGAGAGTGTGTAGGCTAGGTCGGCAAGGAAAACTCTCTGTGCTCTCTTTCGCGAAATTTGCTGGGTAGCGACGTGTTCTTGCAACGCCAAGGCCTGTCTTCGTGGACCATCCTCATCGGCGGCTGAGAATGTGAGAAGCGAGATGGAGCTATGTTCAGCATCGTCTTCAGAGCCAATGATGACGCCACTATCATCAGAAACATCTGAAACGGAATCAGAGATGCCGGCGTCTGGGGCTTGATCTTCGACTGGTCCAACTGAGGTGCTGCTGTTCGCAACACATGGCTTGTAAGAGTCATTCGACTTGGCCACGGATAGGTGGTTTCCAGTAAGGCCTCGAATCCGAAGATAGTTGTATGCATCATCCAATACGACATGTGCATTAGATCCGCCATATCCGAACGAGCTGACTGAAGCCCGGCGGATCCCAGAAGGAGTGGCAGGCCAAGCCGTAGAGCGCGTTGGAAACTGAACGCCTAGCGCATTGACGTCGATTGCTGGGTTCACCTTTTCAAAGTCCGCGATGGGAGGTATAATGGCTCTCTCGAGCGAGAAGACTGTCTTGAGCAAACCCGCCAGGCCACTAGCACCCTCGAGATGGCCAATATTGCTCTTCACAGACCCAATCCAGAGCGGGCTAGATCTATGAGGTCTGAAAACCTCTCCAATCGCGGAAACCTCGATTGGATCACCGACTGGTGTGCCGGTTCCGTGAGCTTCCACGTACTCGGTCTCGGAAAGGTCCAGTCCTCCAGAAGCATAAGTTCTCCGAATGAGCTCAACCTGAGCGGCAGCACTGGGCTGGGTGATACTCGGCGTCCGCCCGTCTTGATTTGCGCCTGTGGCACGGATCACTGATCGAATAATGTCTCCGTCCGCCAGAGCTTTGGACAACGGCTTGAGAAGAACGAATGCGTATCCCTCTCCACGAGCGTAACCGTTGGCTTTGTGGTCAAAGCTATAGGATCGGCCATCCGGAGATAGAAAGCCGGCGTTGCTCAAGGGGAAACTCATGCACTCGGGAGTGAGATAGGTATTGGAGCCACAGACTAGGCTCATGTCGGACTCCCCGTTGAGTATGCTCTGACACGCTAGGTGAAGGGCGTACAGTCCGCTGGAGCATGCGGTGTCAACCGTCAAAGATGGACCTCGGAGGTCAAAGAAATGACTGATGCGGTTTGACAACATAGACGACCCTGAAGACGTTGCTTGGTACCGGGATTGGAACTCTGGATCTCGGGCCACTATGGCATCACTATCGCGGCCGAAAGAGGCGCAGAAAACTGAGGTGCGGGAACCAGCAACTCTCTCCATTGCTAAGCCAGCTGTATGATTCCATAAATTCTCGATTAGTGATTCATGCCTTGATCAAGAACATCCATCTATCGGCTCATACCGTTTTCAAAGGTGTGATATGTGCCCTCGAGGAGCCCGCGCTGTTGGGGATCTAAGATGGATGCTTCTGCTGGCGACATGTTGAAAAAGGCAGCATCAAAGGCCCGCGGATCTTCTTTCATGAAGTGGGCGTTTTGAACACGCATCTGGTTTCCAGAGCAATCAGATGTTGGCCACGTACGTTGAATCAAAGGCAATAACTCACACTGTCGAGACGGTTAGGGTCTGGATGATAGAATGCATCGACGTTGAAGCGGGTTGAGGGCACCTTGCTTGATGCGTTCCTTGCATTCTCAAGCATGTGCCAGAAGGATTCCGCCGAAGTAGCGTCTCCAGGGAACTTGAGGTTCAAGCCAACTATGGCGATAGGTTGTATCTGGTCTTGCATTGTATCCATACTAATAACTTGACTTTGATGTTGTTGATTATGGATTGACATCCGCAGTTGAGTGAAAAGAACGATGATTCCTAATAGATTCAGGACTGTTCATGAACAAGACGTTACCGGATTCGGTCCTTTCTATACGAATTTAGCAGCAGCTCTTGCCAAAGTTTCTTGATGCTGGATAGTCCAATGATCACGGAAAAGAGGCAAAGAAGGGTTTCAAGCGGAAGTTACACAAACTTCAGAACGTCACATTCCATGGAAAATGGATATTTACGGAAGAGTGGAAATGCAATTGGTTGCTACAGTCAGATTTCACTTGCGGCTATTCCAGTCTCGAGAACTTCCTTGATTGATTCTCCGCCAAAAAAAGATCCAATCGCGTTTCTAGTTGCTGTTGACATGACTGACAACAACATGCTACATCTAGATAACTACCTTGACTGGAGAGAGCCCAGCTGAGATTGAGAAGGTTTGGGCCGTTCAAGGATCGAACTGACCGAGTCTTGGAAACGGAATCGCGAACCCACTGCTGCAAAAGGTTTCAAACAATTGCGACGTCAATCAGCTCCGTCAGAGTTCAGCTGTCAATCACCCAACCGCCAAATCGACCATTTGAAGGAGTCCGGAAGCAGGTTTCCCGCTTTCCAGACGATGAGGCGCAGCTATTAAAGTCTAACTCGCGAGAACGGGCAGATATTCGGTCGGAACTGAAGCGGCTATCTCATCAACCTTGATCGAACTCCAACAATAGCAAGCGTGGTACACGGATGAGCCAAAAGGTGCGAGCGCTCGGGTCTCAATTGCTCGATCGAGATCGTAGACTACGATTGGTGCCTTAGTCTGAAGGTTTGAACTCCGCCAAATTTACCGTGCTGGGCCCTTGTAACGACTTGCGTGGAATAGTAGTAAAAGTTAATATGGCCTAAACACCAGGCGCTAACCACCAAAAGTTGCCTGAAGAAGAAGGTCTGTCACCTGCCCGGATTAGTTGCCGAGGCTTGTACCATTCGGTTTAATCCGCCGGTCTGTTGAATGGGTGTCTTGCGTCTTTACTTCTGCATAGTTAATGTGTTCCAATTAGGGTATTCGACTGATAACGGGGGATGGTATCCGCTTACCGACGTGACAGAAGTCTCCTGCCGCCGCGCGGTTAATAAAAAGTAACATTCAAGCTAAGCATTACAACTCGAACCTTATACTGCAACGTGTCAGAGCAACTGTTCATACGAAGTATTGCCGTGCTGGGGTTCATATCATAGTAGATGCCCCTGAACATTGTCAACTCTGCGAAACCGTTTCAAGCAAGAATCTCTTCACAGCTTCCAATTCCCCACATTCCGTCCGCTTCCTCACACCATGTCTGCAAGCACCCTTGGCAACGCTGTCTATTTCCCACTGTTTCTACGATGGCTCTACGATACCCTTGTCCTCGGCTTCTACTGTCCATTAGCCTGGGGATGTCCTAGAGACGTCCTCTCAGGTCACTATAGCAAGCACATTTCCTCCCTTGTCAAACCTAATGCAAGACTGCTGGATATCGGCGTCGGCACTGGCTTTTTCATGCAGAGGGCGCCTCTTCCTCCTGATTCGATAATCGTTCTGGTCGACATCAATCAAAACCCTCTAGCCGAGGCTCAAAACCGCATTCAACTGGCACATCCCGACGTCATCGTTGACACAGTTCAAGCTGACGTCTTTGTGCTTGGCGATCGCCATACCTCGCAACTACCTTCATCTCTGCATATGGGTAGCAACGGACAGTTCGACGTCATTTCTTGTATGTTATTGTTGCACTGTCTCCCTGGAAGTTCCAAGCGAAAAGGAGAGGCTATGGCAGGGCTAGGTCGGCTTTTGAAACCAGATGGTGTTCTGGTTGGTGCAACAGTATTGGGCGGTGGAGTGAAACACAATGCTTTTGGAAGGTTCCTCATGTTCTGGCACAATCTTTTGGGCGTCTTCCACAATAACAAAGATTACGCAGCTGACATAGTTGAGCCACTCAAGGCCGGTTTCAAGTACGTAGACTGGCAGATGGTTGGGACAACCCTTCTCTTTGAGGCAAAGGCACCGAGGGCTCGAAGTATATAGCTGGCTGTAGGATTGACAAAAGAAAGTTGACTAGATTTGATAGGCCAAATGTTTAGTTGTGAGCCTTCCTTAATCTAGCTTTCACTTTGTGATTTCCTGCCCCATTTTACTAAGGAGACGCACATGCCCGAGATGCTTCCATAGCACATGATCTATTAGGTATCGGTCGGGTGTGGCTGTGGGCTCCCAAGGGCATCGTTCGTGATTTTGTTTACACCGCAGCACCGCAAACTGCAATGAACGGAGGGCCACAAGCGCGACTAACAGAAGAGGCGGAAACAGAAGGACTTCAGTCGTTCCGGTCACAAGCGTAGGATCATATGCTAGCGGAGGAGGAAGAGGGCCTGGACATTGCCTAAAGATAGAAGTTTGCATGACCAAAGCTAGCGCTCAAATACCCGCTTTAAATGCTCCGACAGCCCCTGACAGTGTCTGAGCCATGGCTGATGACTTTGAGAGCCAAATCTTTCCGCCGCGAACGCGTGGAAAACCCTCCCCTCTGTAGGTGCTTCAACTTGAGATTCAGCCCACTCAACCAAAGATCCAAAGTTTCTCGTGCTCGACTCAACCACACTGTTTTATGCCAAGGACGCCACATGACCCAAAGCCGCGCCCCGAGGGAAGCGAACTCAATCATTGCTGCCTCCACGACGCAACACCTAACCCAGCGAACACCGGCGCCAACGCAAAATGAACCCACCAATCCGCCTTGGGTGCCTGTCTCCGCTGCACAATGCCATCAATAGTGACCACCGGGACCCCAAGCAAGCACATCGCAGCTAAGGTCTTGTGGTTGCCGAAGTATGCTGCCGCAAACAGGCTTGCTCCAATGAAGAACTCGCGTATGGCGAACAAGCGCAGCTCGTCCAAGATCAGGCTCCTATTTTCCGATTTTGGATCCTTGAAATCCTCGGAGGACGCAATATCGAAGTGCCACATTTTGATGCCGAGTTCTGGTTTTAGCGTGACGATGGAGCCCATCATGGTTGCGGCTAGCCCAATAGTGGCCGCAAAATTCGCAGGCGTAATGAAGGTTGACATATTTGGGGTTATCGAGCGTGTGAGGATTGATTACGGACCGATTCAGTTATCCTAGGATTAATGACTGGCGAGAAGAGCCGATCTTTAAAGAGCAAGCCTGACTCCGGCTTTTACGATCTAGCCTTAACCCGGGCCTGAATCCAGTCTAATCCGGCCTCACGTAATCATTCTATCAGGGGTTGGTGGTTAGGATCCAAGTTGTCGGAGGAACAATTTCGCCGATGTGCTGTAAATGGCAGAAAAGTCGCCGCGACAAAGGGAAAAGGATCTGCCAACCCCTAGAAATAGTATATCCAATAATAATAACGAGGATGAGAGTCTTGAATTTAGAGCAAAAAAAGCGCAACAATATACCCCGAAAAATTGTTAGTGTAGCGTTATAGGTACTCGTCGCCCAAGTCATCCAGTGAATATCGCCGATTGAAGAACCATCTGTAATTATACATGCAACTTGATCCTGTGTACATACGTAAACCAAAGAGATTCAAAGACAGCGAAGTAGTTCAATTAGGGGGACAAACCCATTTATCTCAAAAATATAACTTACTTACATCTAACTTACATCTAACTTACATCTAACTAACATCTAACTAACATCTAACTAACATCTAACTAACATCTAACTAACATCTAACTAACATCTAACTTGCATCTAAGGGAATGTATTAAGTGGCGTTCTACGTAATCGTAACTCGGTTTCAAGTGGAGCAATAAGTAAAATAGTTCAAATTGAAGCTATATTGATTCCTAGCTTCTCTTGAGAACCCCGATTCTAACAGAGAGAGGCTTGTGCATATGGACAGTCATGACGGCGTAAGTGTCGTTTACAACTTCAATGATCCTTTCCCTAGCGTTTTCGAGGCTTTCTTCGACATTGGGTATGGCTTCAAGTCTGTGCTTGTAGAGGAGAGTCGCAAGTGCTGCAACAAAGCCAACCTGGGAGAATCTCTTGCCCGGACAAGCCCGTTTCCCCTCGCTCCACGGGAGAAAAGCGCCATCAGGAGGTGCTTTGAGTTGTTCGCTGTCCAGACCCTTCATGTGATCGCTTGTCATGATCCATCGATCAGGTTTCCAGTGCATTGCATCGGTTCCCCATACGGGTTGGTGTACCTGAATGCTAGGCATGTTGACAAAGACATTGGCGTTTGCTGGGATGCGATGATCTTCGCTACCAACAAGCAAAGTCGTTGCTTTCGACCCGGTGCATTTGGGAAGGACTGTGACCGAAGGATACAATCGGAGTGTCTCGTTCTATAAGTGTGTCAGACTTGATATTGAAAATCGCCCCGGAGGTGAATTCAGGCCTCCTTACCATGGCGGCTTGACACCTTTTCAAGCGAGGGAAAATATCCATGAAAGCATCCTGCGACTTCCAATCTGGCCTGCCACCGAGAACCTCATCAATCTCTTCCATAAGCCAAGCTTGCTGCTCTGGTAAAGCTGCCAGGAGATAGATTGCAAACGTCAGCGTATGTGCAGAAGACTCATGTCCTCCAAGTGAGTAGGTAAATAGATTTCCTCGAATCTCAGACACTGTCAGTAAGGCATGCGATCCATCATCCTTGAATTTATCCATGAGAGTTTCGACTTCCAAATCTCTGTTCCTCTTTACCATAAAGCTCAGCAAGTTGTCATTCTGCGTCTTTTCCCTGCTGCCTCTAAGATTGTCTTTGCAGTCACTGATCATTTCATCGAGATACTGCCGCATCTCAGCCACAGCATCTCGGAAGTTCTTAATCCTCTGTGGCAGGAAAGGAAATCTCATAGCCCAACTTGGCACCAGCCGAAGGATGAGAATATCCTTGAGACTGGTGTGGAGACAGTACCTGTAGCTTCGCGAGTGTCCTTCTGGAATGCAGTCTCTTTCGGGCTGCTTGAAGTCATACGTAAAGCCGAAACAAACGCTAGTGAAGACATGAAGGTAAAGTTCGCGGACATCGTCCACAGGATCGCAAATTAGGCCCCGTGAAGTGTGTTGATAATGATGAATCATTTGCTGAGTCTGTCGGACGCCTTCTGCCCACACGAGACGATTGGTCCTGTCGCTCAGAGTGGCGACAGTCGCCTTCCGGTGACGAGCCCAATCATGGCCATCTGAGGATACCAGACTCGTGCCCAGTACGTCTAGGATTTCTTCGAAAGATTGGTCAGCCAAAAAGAGCAGCACTTGACCTCATGAGATAGTGTACACTTGCTGGCGTAATGGCTTATCTTGGGAAAGTCGTTCGCCTGCTTCCGAAGCACTTGAATAGCTACTGCAGGATCCCGAGTGTGAATCTCAACTTCTCTCGGCGTGGCGTGAGCGAAGGTGTCGCCATGCTTGTCATGAACTTGAGAGTTGCCATGTGTCCGGTCAACCCATGTCCAATCAAGAGTATTGTACGTGGTCCAATCGCCCAGGCCTAGAGGAAGGCGCTGAAAGATTGGTGCAACTCGTTTGTTGAAGATGATCCAGAATGGGTTGAAGGGGCTTATGGGGCTCCAGACAACCGGAATACCAATAGTCTTGGCAATGATGATGTTTCGAATGAGACACGATATGGTGTACATAGTATAGAGCCCAATCAGACAAAGAGCAACGAAACCGTTTGTCGACATCTTCAGGTTTGGTGATTGCAATAGTCTCAGAACAGTTTTTCTTGCATGTATCCTCACGCTGTCCACGAAGCCTCTTTCTTTCCTTGGAGCGAAATTCTTATGAGTGGTAGCGCACTACTCAGATCACGTCGTAAGGTTTGATTCCTCCGGGAATCGTCTCCGGAGGAGGCCACTGCTCTGCCTTGGTTCCGTCGCCTGATAGTTCCGCTACGTTCCGCAGGTATGTTGCATAATACCGGAAGTCAATTATATCAAACTTTGTCTGCCGGCTGACCCATGCTCGCAAGGTCGACTCCATAACACATTTTCCGATTCTCAGCATGCCATCCTCCTCGAAGAGAATCATCCGTTTTGGTCTAGTTATGTCACTGGTTACACCTCAGGCTCTACCGCGGACTCGCAATTCGCCCCTCTCCCCGAGACGTTTGTCGAAGTATGTTTCGATCTCTTATTTCGATAAGACAGTAGCAATCGGCAAGAAAAAAATTACTGCATGCTTTCCGGGCTTTCAAGACCGAGTATCTCGGACAAAAGACCAGATTTGGCATCCGTCATTGTCCTGATGATGAGATCAACGGCTATAGAAGTCAAGAAGAATCTTTCCTCGGTATTAGTCCTCTGTATTTCGGGTCTCGCACCAGATCCCTGAGCTCAGTCTCTACCTCTTCAAAATTTAGCCACTCGCAGCTATGAGCAAACCCAGTCACATCAAGGATGGTTTCCTTGGGTCATATACAGAATGGCTTGTCCTTGGGCTACTGTTCCTCGTCATCCTGCGAAGGATTGCTAAGTTCATTGACGAAGAAAGGAGGATTCGGCGTCATGGAGGGCACGCGTCGAGATACAAGTCGTATACGCCGTTTGGTGAGTTCCGAAATCTCAAGCTACTATTCGTGATGACTAACGCTAAATTAGGCGTGTTGTCCGGCTTGCATTTCCTGTGGTCCATCACCACTCATGCCTTACAGGATCAAAACCTCAAATTCATGCATAACGCGTTTCTCCGATCAGGCCAGGGGAAGAAGAACCCATACACGTTTGAGGTCTCCTTGATAGGGTCGCGTGCAATTTTCACTGCCGATCCCGAGAATATTCGAGCCATGCTGGCAACTCAATTCAGCGGCTTTGGAAAGGGTCAGCGCTTCAGAGCAGATTGGTTTGAACTCATGGGAAATAGCATCTTCAACGTTGACGGTGACGCTTGGCATGCCTCGCGCCAACGTCTCCGATCTCTCTTCACCCGCCAACGAGTTAGTGACCTCGTCTGTTTTGAGCGTCATATCCAGGATATGCTTCCAGCATTAGCTGGTGGCCATTGTGTGGATATGAAGGACATCTTAAGCAGATTTGCGCTTGATGTATCGGCAGACTTTTCCCTCGGAAGACAGGTGGATTCTCTGACAAGCGAAGAGGATGACGCCGTCTTTGAAGCATTTGAGCGTATCCGCCACACTCAGTCCTTGATTGAGCGATTGGGCCCTCTGAACTTCCTCGTTCCGCGCCGCAGATTCCGCAAAGACCTAGAGGCCTTGGATAAGTTTATGGGTCCCAGCATCGAGAAGGCAATATCAATGTCGGATGCGGAGCTAGCGGAGATAGACAAGACAGACCACGGATGGACACTTCTTCATGCATGCGCTGGTGTCTCTCGAGACGCTCGGTATCTGCGTGATGAAATGGTGTCGATATTGATCGCTGGCCGAGACACCACTGCAACCACAATGTCCTGGGCTTTCTTTGAGCTCGCGAAGAGCCCCGAGGTACTTGCCGAGCTTCGCCGCGAGATCGAGAACAAGTTGGGCGTTGGTGCCGGAGCTCGTCTACCAACTTATGACGACCTCAAGAGCATGACGTTCGTCACGCACGTGTTGAATGAGACTCTTCGGCTATATCCCAACGCACCTTTCAACATCAGAGCTGCTTCAAAAGACACCAGTCTACCACGTGGAGGTGGACTAGACGGGAATGACCCCGTAGGAGTTCCATCGGGTACCCAGATCATCTATTCCACGCACATCCTTCAATTGCGAGATGATCTCAATTCATACAAGTATCCACTCCAAGACTTCTATCCCCGTCGATGGGAAACTTGGACACCTCGTCCATGGACGTATATTCCGTTCAATGGTGGGCCGAGGATATGCATCGGGCAGCAGCTGGCTCTGACTGAGATGGCGTACGTCTTGGTTCGTGTGTTTCAACAATACAGAAGTGTTGAAGTGAGACAAGAACCAATGTCTAAAGATTCGGAGTCCATGGCAATTGGCTGGGAGAAGAGAGGCATGGGGCCCGACTCGGTAGAGAAATTTGTGAGGTCGAGGCCACGCATGGCAAGTGAGATCACACTTGCGCCTCGAGGTAGTGTAGACCTAGTTTTCCGTGAGTAATGAATTGACGATGGCATTCGCAATCATGTTCATCGAGATATTAATGCTCATTCTCCTCTTGGCCGCTTGTTGAACTGGCCAAGCAAGTCGTGAGATAGCGTAGTGTTGTTCATGGCATTCAGAGTTCTTTCCCTTAACTCAATGCCAGGACATGTTTATCCTAGGTAGGTACTTTGGATGAGGTGGTTAGGTATAGAAGGCACTTGAGATGCTGGCACCTGCCATTGTCGGTTGCAAAGAACAGTACGTAACTGACGCACTTAAGGTACCTGCCCGTAATTAATACAAGATGCCCAAGGTACGTAGCCATGGAAGGTACCTAACGACGTGATGCCTTCCCCTTGCAACAACATGGCGAGTCTGGCAAGACTGAAAGTATTTTCTATACCTCACTTTCCATGTAAGTAAATGGAAGCCCTCGCTTCCGTCTCATTGTACCAAAGAACCTTAGCAGAGAACGCCCACCAACGTCCGAAATCTTCTGCACCAGCTTCATCACCAACACATCCCACCCGAGATTTTGCATCCCGCCCTCCTGAGCAGGAAGCAGTTACTCTACCTGATTATTCTACATAAAGTTCATTCCTTACAACTACCCGGCATCCACGAGCTCGTTCTTCCAATCCCATCTCCGATCAGAGCACCGCCTGCTTATCTGTCCGTGAGACTATTCCAGTCCGTCTACGCAGACGCGAAGCGACATCCAGCATGGTATCAACCCGCTACATTGCTGTCTTGACAGCATTGGCATCCTTCGTAGCAACCTCACCTGCACCAAGCCACCAACAGGGTTCACGATTCTTATTCGCCCATACTGATTCTACCCTTCGGCTTGTCAAAACATCCCCAGCTGATCCTGGATCATGGGTCACCGATGCGGACAAAGACGTGTTGATCGAGAGCGGTGTCCGTTTCATCGACATCACTGACATCAAGGTAAGCTTTCTTGAACCCGGCTCGGTTCTATTCATTCAAAAAGTTGATTTGACTGACATCTCCTCAGGACGAAGAAGTTCTCGAAATGATATCCACTCCTGATCATGACTTCAGTCAATACCTCAACACACTCGACCTGAATGCTGACTTGGATCAGCGAGGGTCAGATTGGATGCAGGGCGAACTTGATGGCCGATCTATGGCCTCTGCTGAGCAACCGACACCGTTCAATACTGAACGTGCAATGCGTCACCTCAAGATAATGACCGAGTAAAGAAGACTGACTCCAATCTTGCTTCATTTACTGACTAGAATCGCAGGTTTTGGAGCAGAGATCATCGGGTGGAAAACGGCACGAAAGCTGCCGAATGGATCCTCGAAAGTATTGAGAGAATCGTTGCCTTGGTCAACCCGCATATCGAATCCGCCGCGTTCGCGCATAACGCCACCAAGCAGCCCTCCGTTATTGCCAAGCTACCCGGAGCTACCTCAGACATCGGTGAGCCTGTCTTTGACCTTCTAGACGGCTCTGCTGACCCTCTGAACAGTTGTCTTCGGCGCCCACTTCGACTCCATTTCAAGAAAGCCTGGTGGCTATGCTCCGGGAGCCGACGATAATGCTTCTGGAACGGTCGTGCTACTTGAACTTCTCCGGACACTAGCAGAAAAGACGAGTCACAAGGAAACCGAGCCTTGGAAGCCTCTTCGCAACACAATTGAGTTCCATTTCTATGCCGCAGAAGAGGTCGGTTTGCTTGGCTCTTCGGAGATCTTCTACGATTACAAGATCAAAAACAAGACGGTGGTTGCCATGCTGAACCACGATATGCTGGGATTCTCTTCCACTGACAAAGTATCTCTTGGTGGCGACAAAATTGACCCGCGCCTCACACATGTCCTCCGCACCATTGCGAAGCAGCGCGGCATCGCAACACTGAGCTTTTCTTGCGGTTACGCCTGTTCCGATCATGCAAGCGCTCACAATAACAAGTACCGTAAGCGCGACGTTTCTTCTTGTTTGATTTTAGTTGACCATGGTATCATAGCTGCGGCCTTCATTACTGCCGATCGTGACCCAATCGGCAACGACAGAATTCACACTGATAAAGATGTCAGTTCCACCGAAACTTTTTATAGGCACGCCGAAAGTCGGGTACTAATCTTGATTGCAGACATTGGAGACGATCGAGAAAGAAACGCTTGAACGCCATTTCCAATTCAGCCTCGCAGCTCTTGAGGTTCTCTCGAACGCAAACGTAACCAAGTTAGGCAGACCAAGCGACGATCTAATGTAAACATCAGGATCTTGCTACGCTGAGGACGATGCAAAAGGCCTGAACAATGGTTGACAAGCCATGCCCCACACCCATGAATCAATGATAGAATTACAAGCATGTCTCAATGGAACCAATATCTGTTCATGACTTTCCCACGTGCCATGGTCATTGGTGAATCTGCGTACACGGACTCCCACAGACATTTGTTGCAGCTACTGGGGCGCGAGTCGCCCCTTCTTCGATGCTCCGTTCTCCGTTGAATTTGAACAAATACAGGCCACTCTTAAGCTCGCTAAGATTGTTGAAATTTCCCAGATGGCTGACGCAAGGAAAGGCTCCCGGGGGGCGGGAGCGTTGGCTGCTCCGTCACGTCCGGCAATGAGTGTCCGGACGGCTCCACTTTGGCCGGGCGGCGCTGTTAGATAGCTCGGCAGTGACCACAACAAGTGGGCCGATCCAACGCTCAAAGCATGTTACTCAGCGTGCCATGCCCCAAGGCGGAGATGCACAATTATGGATAAGACATCAAAAGCCCGCTGAGGGGTTAACATTCCCTGCCTTATCGACCACAATAGCTAATTGTTTACGGAGGGGAAGACATTTTCATCACGCCAAAGCCTGACACCACAAACATGAGCAACCTCAAGGGCAAAGTCATTGCCATCACGGGCGCAGCATCGGGCATCGGCCTGGCGACGGCGAAGCACCTGGCCAACCTAGGCGCGCGAGTATCGATATCGGACGTCGACGAGCCCCTCCTCGCCACGGCCGCGGCTGATCTCACCAAGCTCCACGGGGCAGACAGCGTCTACTCGCGAGTCGTGGATGTGAGGGACCGCAAAGCGGTGGAGGCGTGGATCGCGGAAACGGTGGAGAAGCTCGGACCGTTGGACGGTGCGGCCAACGTCGCCGGCGTGCTTGGGCGGCAGGGCAACTTGGCGACGGTGACGCAGATTGAGGACGATGAGTGGGACTTCGTGATGGGCGTGAATGCGAGGGGGATATTTAATGCCATGAGGGCCGAGATTCCTGCACTGGCGGAGGAGGGACAGGGAAAGAGTATTGTGAACGTGTCGAGCGTGGCGGGGCACTACGGGTTGGAGTATCATGGGGCGTATACGGCGAGTAAGCATGCTGTTGTTGGTTTGACCAAGAGTGCGGCTAGGGAGTTTGGGAGGAAGGGATTGAGGATCAATGCTATCTGCCCGTAAGTTGCAATTGTCTGCATTAAACCTAGGAAAATTTGTCTGACGAGAAACGCAGCGGCGCAATCGATACGCCTATTTTACGAACGGCGCTGGCGGCCAAGACCATAGAGACCGGGGCAGACGTGTTTGAGCCGCTTTTGGGGAGGGTCGGGCAGCCTGAGGAGGTGGCGACGACAATTGCCTTCTTGCTAGGAGATGAGTCTTCGTATGTCACCGGGCAGGCTTGGTTAGTCGATGGTGGTTCAATTCCTTGATGGAGTATGTACGAATGTGGGACTAGACTCGAGGGAGAGGTTGTCGAATGTGTGAGGTCAGAGGGTGAGGAATAGAATACAGGGCGTAAGATGAGATCGGACGAATCGTGGTCAGGGTCACTCACTCGGCATTAAGAATCCAATGTCAGGGGGATCATGACATACTACTTTCCCATTGCAAAACTATCTTTGGGTGCTGACTGTGCTGCTGTCTCGGAGTATTTGGAATGCTCAACAGCAATTGGTGCGTTGTCGCAGCGAAGGATGCAGAGGATTCAAGCGTTGCTACCTTTCTTCTTCCGAGAGAGACAAGGAGCAGCGGCTGTCCTACCATAGCTTTACCATACCTTAGTTGGTAGGTGGCAGCATGAGTCCTGAGATGCTACGCCGGCAGCTGTGCGCACATGCAGTGAGAATTTTCTGGAACGATGCAACGGGTAGGTGTGATCGTGGGTGAGATTACAACCAGGCGCCGAGGCAGGCGAGGCAGAATCTTCAGGAAAATGCCACGCCATCAGGACCTAGATGCAGGTACTTTGGGTACACAATACACGAACTTGAGTATTTGGAGTAACTGACGTAGAAACACTTCAGGGAGAGGGCGGCTGTTTATGAACGTTATGAGGTGATCTCGTGAATTGTTCCACGGAAAGACTAATAGTAAATCTAGCAAGCGAGTGCCAAGTTGGTATCAAAGCAGATATGAACAAGAGTATTATAGACGATAACTGCCTTTCCTTTTTTTCCAGCCGTCGATGTACTTTCCGACGGTCAAGCGAAATCTGTAAGTGATGGATAGTTGCAAAAGTTCTATTGTCCAAAGACTTAGACAGTCTTCTCAGGCAATGAGCTGTGGGCGGAGCTGCCGGGGGCACCGTCGTGGCTGCTGCTGGGCGCAATGTCGGAAACATGGCGGGTGACCTCGACGTAGTCGTAGGCAAACTCGCCGAGCTGGCAGTCGTCGAGGCCAAGGTCCTCGTCGTCGACACTGACACGCAGGCTGAGGCCGGGAACGAGGTTCATCAGGAAGAGGATAAGGCAGGTCAAGGTGAAGGACCAGGCGAAACCGGCGACGGAGCCGGCCAGCTGGTAGCCGAGCTGGACGTAGTGGTGCTCGATCCAACCGCCGGCAATCGCGCTCTCGCCGGTGTAGGCGCCATCGAGGGCGGCGATGTAGGAGCTGGGGCATGTTAGAACAACATTCTGCGGGTGATTTTCGGAGAAAGGGTAGCAAGACTTACGCAGCGAAGATACCGGTCAGTATGTTACCGCAGATGCCACCGATTCCGTGGACGGCGAAGACATCAAGACCGTCGTCAATGCCAAGCACGAACTTGAGCTTAGTGCCAAAGTTGCAGGCGATGCCACCGACAATGCCGAAGATGACGGCAGCCCAGGGTGTAACGAAACCAGCACCGGGGGTGATGGCAACCAGGCCGGCGATGGCGCCAGAGCAGAAGGCGATGGTGGACCACTTCTTCTCCAGACGGTAGTCAAGGAGCATCCAGGTGACACCACCGACACCGGCAGCAAGGTTGGTGTTGAAGCAAGCCATAACAGCACGGATATTGGAGGCGAGAGCGGAACCGCCGTTGAAACCGAACCAACCGACCCAGAGGAAGACGGTTCCGAGAACGACGTGGGTGACGTTGTGAGGGCGGTATGGGAGGCCGTGGACGCTGTTGTAACCGGTGCGCTTGCCCAGCATCAATGAGTAGGCAAGGGCGGCCGCGCCAGAGGAGATGTGAACGGGCGTACCACCAGCAAAGTCGTAGGAGCCGAGGATGAACAGCCAGCCATTGCCGTTCCAGGTCCAGTAGGCGATGGGGTCATAGACAATGGTGGCCCAGATAAAGGCAAAGACCATGGCGGGGAGGATGCGGCCGCGGTCAGCAATAGCGCCGAGAGCGAGGGCGGGACTATGTCGTATGGTCAGATGCCGCCATCGAGGTCACAGACTTCGCGCCAGATTAGAGTAGACTCACGTAATGGCGGCGAACATGCCCTGGTACAGACAAAAGAGAATATCAGGAATCTTGGTGGAGCCGACAGAGGGTTGAGCGACAACCTCCTTGAGACCAAAGTTTGACATGTCGCCGAGGAAGACGGAGCCGGTGTGAGAGAAGGTCAAAGTATAACCCCAGAAGAACCATTGGAATCCAACCACGCCCACGCAGATCATCGAGATCAATATCAAAGACAATGCGGACTTTCGACGGGCAAGACCCGAGTAGAAGAAACCGACACCGGGAATCATGAGCAGCACGAGCGCCGAGCAGACCATGATCCAGGCCAGGTCGCCAGACTATGCAGCCATGTTAGACAACAACATGTACGAGGTAGTCGTCGTTGGGCCACGGCGGGTATCACATGAGCTCACCTCATAGAAGACGTTGAGGTCAGCAACACCGGCAGAGTAGCCGGCGTCGGCCTCGCCCTCGGTGCCATTGTAGGGGATGGCGTAGAGACCGGCAGACATGTTGACGGTTGCGCGCCGGCGCGTGAGCGGTCAGTGGGTAGTGGTTTCGGTGCGCGGTGTCCGGACGCGTCCTCGGGAATCTTCAACGTTTGCCTGCCTCGAGATCGGCGAACAGACGTCGAAGAGAGAGTAGTGAGTGAAGAGAGCTACAGGGAAGGGAGGGAACGAAGGAAGGGTGAAAAGGACGCAACGCTGAAGTCTACGCCGGGGATGGACAGGCTAAATAATCCCAAAAGCAACATTGAGAAAAGCAAACCGGGGCATTGCCTTCGGCCCCTCGTCGTGAGCCGGCCGATATTTGAGCCTACGAGTACATATGGCCAAGTCCACTACGGAGCACAGTTGCTGCTGCAGTATCTTTGGATGGATCCGAAGGCGGCAGGGATGAGCAGCCCAGACCGATGGCGCGGGTAAGATGAAGGATGGGATGTCAGTACGTTGGGACGGGGAGGTCGCTCATTGACCAGTCTTCTATGCCGGGCAACACCAATAGTGCAGGGCCAAGGGGTGGGAGGAAAGCATAAAAAAGGGCATGAGAGGGTGTCTAGTGGCAGAAATTGAGGGCTGTATCTTGGAGCGACTTCCAGATCCTCGTCTGTCTCCGGCAAGACAAGTCGGGCATGTCCCTCTACTGGCATAGCTGCATGGTGGTGGTACGAGAACGCCCTCATCGCGAGAGCTTCATACAAACACGGTCGGTGGAATTCGTACATGTACTTGAACCACATGCTCCGAGGACCCTTGTTGGACTTTCCCCCCCGTCCCATGTCGTCTAGCATCGAGTGGGCCGTCGGAACCTGTGGGTACTGATAAGGAATTGGAGACTGGCCGGGGTTTGTCGAAGGAGGCCGACAAGGATGTCTAGGGTCGGGGGCTTCGGCTCAAGGCGAATTGAAGCCATTTCAGGGAGCCATGTCTCTTGGCAGAACCTGGCCGCTAGCGTACCGTAGACGTTTCTTCGTCCGTTGGACTACCTACCTACCTAGCCTACGGATGCTAAGTAAGGTAGGTAGGTATTCGTACTCTCTGGAGTCTGCCACGGCCCATGGTGTGTATCTGGCCTGAGACTTTGGGACTCGGGATTCTGGACGCTGGACGTGGAGAATGTCAAGAATCGAGC